TGTGGTGCATTGTTACTTATTGTAATATGTGATGTGTGTTTGAAATAAATTTATTTGTAAGTTTTACCATGATTTAAGATTTTATTACACTACATGCATACTTGAAAGCCTTTCAGTTCAATTGAAGGTTAATAAATTTCATGTAAACACCAGTAATTGTTTTCATCTGTTGCTGATTTTTTATCCTTTCCATAACAGCATTTAAATGTGTTGATTTAAATATTTTCAAAATTATTGAAGAAACACACTGCAGTGCCATAAAAACTGAACTGTCAATCTGATTCTTAATTGATCCATTTTTGGATTGCAGAATAACAGAATCAAGATGACATGTGATCTCTTTCTGTAAGGCAATGAACATCATGACTTTTGAAGCATGGTCTGTAGTTCTGTAATATTCATTATTATTGAATCTGCATGTTCAGTGGAAGTTTGTGTGGCATCCCAAATTTATTTACTGATGTTGGGCAATTTATGACAGCAGACTAATATTTGGTCATTGTGTATTTTGCAATGCTCATTATTTTGTTGGGAAACACCAAACCCATTAGAATGATGAATAAGAGAGTTTATGTGAAGAATGTTAATACAGTATTCACCGGTTATAGAAGTTTCTAGACATACCAGTTGTCCTTAGAAGGGGGCCAGCTGATTCGACCCTATAGTCTGCCGAGACACTACGGGCTGTATAGCTTGCTGTGTTGGATCCATTATTTCATGAGATTTTCTCCATCCAGGGCGCTACCATCTGCCTCAATCAGTTGGAGATGTGACTATGTTACTTTGTTAGTGACCGTGTTCTCATGAGATAAGATTCAAATCTTTATATCATGAGGTAAGCAGTTGTAAGACCCTAAACTTGTCAGGCGTAACTTATAACAACTGCACCATGTTGATTTAGTTGCTTAAATTATTATAGTGTACCATATTTACCATGTCTATCACAACTGAAGATTGTTAATGAAAGTGGTAATTTTTTTTACATTTTCTTGTTACTCAACAACAAATTTAAATTTATGTTTTTTCATAAATTTTCAGTATATGTGTAGGCTCTTCCATCTTCCTGAATAAATTTGAAAGCACTATATGTAGAGAGGGAAATAAATAAAAATTCTTTTGAAACTCCAAGAAAAGTTTTCTCAAATTTGAAATACCAAAGAAATATTGAAATCTAACAAACTTTTTGTAATATTGCACTTATGGATAAAATCGTTTATAAGAAAAGTGAGTAAAAATATATTTATGGGTACCCCTTCACGAAAATTGGCGGTACATGGATACCAAGTTTGTGCAATTCTTTGACTTGTTATTTTGCGCCGCTACGTAAAGCCAAAAATAACAAGACAAAGTATTGCACAAACTCGGTATCCATGTACACATCGACCTACTTTCACTTAAAAAAAATCAAATAATTGCACAAACTAGGCATAGCACACACAAAAAAAAAAAAAAAAAAAAAAAAAAAAAAAAAAACATCAAATAATTGCACAAACTAGGCATAGCACACTCTTGGCGATAAATGAAACAACAAGTTCGCAGTAATATAAGGGATACCCTTCTCACTACTCTAACCGAAAAGTGCTGCCAAAGTGTATTCCAAATGGATTATCAATCGTAATTTCATTTGTACTTCAACATATATAAAATTGCTGCTAGGTATTCAAATTATTCTGGAAAAATGTAATAATCAGTTATATTAAGAAGCATTGTAAATTAATATTTTTATGAGGCTTAATATATTTTCCCTCCTATTTTGAAGTTTTTTAAAAATTATTTTAACATGATAAATTCTATTTAATGTATGAACTCAATAAACAATATGTAGTGAGAAATAAACTTGAATATGTTTTTATTATTGAGATAATTATTATTTTACTTATTCAAATTTACTTTCATAAATATAATCAGAACTTGATTTCTTGCAAATATTTTTATTTAATAGATTGAAAAACTAACTAAATAAATTCATGTATATATTATCAACATAATTTTTGTTTGATTATGAAAAATACATATGATTAAATCGTTATTAATAAATGATGACTGCTGTTTAAAATTTTATGAATGTTTCTGGTTTTTGAATATTCATTTTAAATTTATTTAATTTGATTGAAATGTTAATTTTCGTATTTGGGGTTATTTTAATTTATTATTAAATAACTTTTAAAGAATGGTATTTATAATTCTAAAAAGTAATAGTTATAAATTTTTAATGCAAATTAACTGTAATTAACATAAATCTAAGTATTTTTGATTTAGAGGTATGTTAGTTTATTGTTGTAATTTCATATTAAAAAATTAAATGATTGTTTATTCAACTTTTTTATGCATATTAAGACTGTCAGTATTTACTATTGTAATTGTATTAATATGGTTAGTGGAAATTGATTATCTGCTGGGTGAAAATGAATAAATATTAAGAGTGAAAAATCATGTTATATTTATAATTTGTAATATGGGTATTTTGATGTAAATTCTGTTGGTATGTTAACAAGTGCAACAATACTAACTTCACACTTTTTCTTATCTTGACCATTGAAGGAATCTCAATCATATTGTTTTACTGTCCAGGGACTATAATAAGATGAAATGTGCCTTTACTTCAGATTTAAGAGTATGTGTTATTTTAATGGAGAATAAATTGTGTGCCCTCTTTTAGCCTTAATTAAAAAAAAAAAAAAAAAATTAGAGAGACTGAAGTATTAAAATTCAAATAATTATAAAATAAAATTATAAAATAAACAATGTTTGTATTTTAATTTGTTAAAATGCTGAAGGAAATTTTATGAAAAATATTTCAGTTTCTTTTCTTTCAAATTCCTTTGGCAAAACCAGTTCTGCAGTTATTTTGTGTAGTTTTATCCAAATGGAAAATATTTTCTAAACATTATTCAGAAAGGTTACCAAATGTAGTGGAATTAAATAATTAAAAATGAAATGAAAATGTCTCTATGTGAGAAAATAAAGCAAAAACACAAAAACAAATGCGTTTAAACAATAAAATCCCAGCAAAAATAGATGCATAAAATATGAAATGTGAATTAGTATGTCAAATTTGTCACTTATTTTTGTTGGAATTTCTTTATTTAATGGATACATATTTTCGTGAATAGCTATGAAATTATAGAAAAGTTGCTTGATTTATCTTTTTCTTCTATGAGATCAAGTCTTTCGCTGTGTAGAACATAATCATTAATTTTTGGCTATATTCTATGTGAACATAAAAAAGTTATTTTATATATTTAAAAAGAAAAGTCATTAAATTTGTACACTGGGGTTGGGTGTTCTGTGGTGCATTGTTACTTATTGTAATATGTGATGCGTGTGTGAAATAAATTTATTTGTAAGTTTTACCGTGATTTTTTAATTGCTTGTATTAAAAATTTTTCTTACTTACCATTGTTTCCTTAGGAAGCTGAAAAAGGAAATTTAAACATAAATCAGACTTTTTTAAGTAGATTTATGGAACTTAATTGAGAAAACGTTTTCGTGAGCATTGAGAAAAAATGTTTTACAAATTTTTATTCCTTTAACACATTAGGGACCGGCAGTGAACTTTCCGCGTGGCCGGCGTCGGTCCCTGGGGACTGGCACTGAAATTTTCATTTGGCTGGCGTCGGTCCGCGAGACCGACAGTATTAAAGTTAAAAAAATAAATATAGTCTCAATGAAATGTGATCAAATTTAGTTTTAATGAAATGTATTGAAACATTCTAAACAAAAATACGGCTTAGCTCTCTACCGGCTGAACGGAAAGGACAACAAAGTCGGTGCCGCGCTCAACTTGTTAAAGTATATATATGTGATATAATTGTAATATATTCAAGAGCAGAAATTTGGATGGCAAAGGCAGATTAAATCTTCAGTTTTATTTTTAGCAACATGTTGGGGTTACACACAAGTCGGCACATTAAATGTGCTTGTTCCAAAAGGCCTATATTTTCGATAACTTTGTAGTAAGAAAGTAGCAGCAAACAGATAGCAGATTAGCTAGACCAAAGCATGGCAAGCAAGTTGATTTAGCTTTTAATGGTACATCTTTATTCCATAACTTTAATTCAATTTTTCCCATAGATCATGCTTTACTTCATATGAAATTCTCTAAATCACATATTCAATAGTAGTTTAAACAAAGTACGACTAAAGTTAAACTTTATGCGTGATTACTATTTCTAACAAAAGATAGATCAAGCAACAGTGAAATGTAAAGCACAGGAGGAGAGGCGAGCTTCTGACGCAAAATGGCGCATATTCGTTATTTATAGTAGCGGTTAAGTACTGGTCTAGGGGGAAGATCCTGAATTGCAGAAAATTAATTAAAGTTTATGTGTTCGCGAAGAGCAAAGCCATCGTATTTTTTTATGTTTTACATATATATGTTACGGTGAAACACCAAAATCTGGAGAATGTCGACTTTCACCGGTGAATGTAAACATTCACATAGTCTCTTGGTGTATGTCCGAAATATTTTCCAAATACTCTTATTTCTGACTTACCCCAGTCAATGTCGACATTCACCATGTACTAATGGTGAATGTTGAACATATAACAATATTATATTTTCTTCTATGTGATTCAGTTGCGAATAAACACACTGGTGCGAAAAACTTACTTAATTATACAGTACGTTCTAAATGAGAAAATAAAATAACAGTAATAAAAAACTTACTAAATTATGTGATTCAAATCTTATTTATTGCAACAACTTAAACTATTATGGCACTTTATGACCTCTCTTTTCGACTTTCACCACAGCATATCTGTGATTGTCGACATACACCGGTGAGGGTCCAAATATACAAGAATGTAGTGAAATATTCGGTCTTTCACCGACGTATTTGGTGAATGTTGATATTCTCCGTTGAAAGTCGACATTCTCCAATTTCGGTCTTTCACGGTAACATATATACACACACACACATATATATAGTATTATTTGTGATTGTCATTTTGTATATAAAGCTTTGATCTCCTTATATGGAATTTTTTTCTTTTAATAGTTGCCATCTCTATAATAGTTCAAACAATTCAAGATCGGCTATCACTGGTATCACCTCGGAGCTCACTTGACATGGGTGTAGTGAGAAATTCAATATATCCAGTATTTCCACCTCACTGAAGAACTGGCTTTGTAGATGTATTTTTTTTTTTTTTCTTAATGTTCCATTGTAATATCATTCTTTACTTTTAATTTAGATACTAATTAAATAAATTTGTGAGTTAAGAATTTATATAAACAGAGCACATTTCAGCACCTAATGCTAAAATAGGTTCTGTTTTTCTGCTTGTTATGCTACTGTGTAGTATATGATGATTGTTATAATGATTTTAATACTTATGAAAATATTTACTTATTTTATATTAACTAGAAGTATGGAAATTACTATGCTGAGTAAAGTGTTACTCTAATTCAGCACTTTATCTATATTTATATATATTTAATGTTTGTTATTTCTGCAGTCATATGTGTTATATTGAACAAAACCAATGCAAATCAAACGAATTTAAAAAACAGAAAAATTCTTTAATCTTGATAAATTGCTTGCTATTTTATGCACTTACTGTATGATTTTAAAAAATGTCGAAATGTTAATTTTTAATGATAAAATTGTTTTTGTCAAAAATCAGAATTTTAAAAGTAATATGTTTTAAACTGTTATTTTGAAAGTTTCTTTTTAATTTTTAAATATTTGGTTATAAGGATATTTGAAAATTGCAGTAATCCAATATGTTACTGTTAGCAATGCATAGTTCTCCTGAATTTTCTTTTTAGTATAAAAATTCTTTTTGCGAATTTTATATCATGTATTTATATGAAGTCATTTCTGTGCGTTAAATGGAATATTTAGTTCATAATAAATTTTACTATTGGCATTGTTTAATAAGATGTAATATTATTTTTCTTATAGTCTGTTGATATATATGACTTAAAAATGTTCCTATAACTTAATATGCATTTAAATCTTAAATTTGATATTTATAATGTTTACTATTTCTGCAGAGGTGGTCCTTTTTCATTGAATTTCTTTGTAATGTCAGTAATACAACATTAATTCTATGATGCAGGTTATTAATATTATTCATATAAAAATAAGAGCATTTTAATCTTAAATGGATGGGATAGTCTGTGGATGTGTTTTCTGTTTTTATTTTGTTTTGTTTATATATTTTATAGTGCGGCTTAATGCTAGTCAGACGTTTTGGAATGTTACATTTTTAACTATTTATTTGCTTCACTGCATTTGTTCACATTATGCATAATTTATATTTCTCAGAGTCAGTACTTAACATTAAAATGAAGTCTCAAGATCTGAAACCATATGCAATATTTAGTCTTTCAAGCAATAATATATGGTGTTCACCACCATTCCCTAATGTTTAGCAGCAATTTTATATTTAAAACTGAATAATTGTTTGAATACATTTTAAAGGCATGCATCTTTTGCTTTGCAAGTTAGGTTTAAGTAAATATTATCATTATAAAATTTAGCTTATTTTTTAGGTTGTTATTTATGTTCCTATTTATTTCATATATTTGCATTTCTAGTCAAAATGCCAGTGATTTTGTATCTTTTTCATTTGGGGGGGCAGGAAAAACTTGGTTTTAATAATTACTCACTATTTGGAGTATATGTCATATATGCTCAGTTTTATTTAGATTTAACTGTGGAATAAAAAAAGTTGTTATACAGCTGATTATATATAATTGTTTTTTTAATTTATTCTCTGAAATTTCTTCCTTTACTAACTTTCTGTGTGTTATAAAAAACTGTTTCTCTTTCTTGAAATGGGTTATTTTACTTGTAGAAGCAAGGATTCAGAAATTGTAGTGCCGCTGCATGTTCATCAGTTATAAAATACCACTTTCGTGATACTATTATTTACCTTTTAAGAGTATTTTGTGTTAATTGCATGACAACAATCATAGAACAGAAGTTAATAATCTAATTCCTCATGTTTCAAAAAGCCTCTTCATTTTCTTCCTCATTTGCCGTATATTTTAGCAAGTATGGGGTAAATGGATCATGTATCTCATATTGGATATCTATGAAAGAAGAATAAAATCTAAAGTTGCATTTGCAAGGAAACTGTGATCGATATAATACATTACTTTTGTTTTTAAAAGATGTTTTAACAAGTTATGTTCCTGCATAGTTAGTTCACTTATGATTTTATAGGTTGCTCAGAGATTATCTAAAATGGTTCTAACCATGTTATGCTCTGAGATTTCATTTGCTTACACAGAAGAAAGCATCAGTGATGTATTAAGCTCAAAAGGAACTTTACCTTGTTCCCCCCCCTCTCCCAGACAGTATCTTTGATAAAAGCATAAAAGAAGAAACTTTGGCATACGGCCATTTTATCTGGCTGCCCCTTGCTGCTATTTTCAGTATTTGACACATTATATATGGCAGCATTCATTCTCATCAGATTAGTAAACTTTGATAACTGTCATTTTGTTTGTAGACCATCACTAGTCTTTTAATGCAGTTCTATTCTTATTTCGATGTCCTGTGTATTCTTCATAACATGACTGTGACCATCTCAATGATTTTTTTTTAAAAAAAGCTCATGGCATTAGTTTTCTGAAGAGTCTTCTAATAAAGGAAAAATCTTATGGATCAAGGATTTTCAGATTTAGTAGCAGCTTTTATCTGTCATTCTTTACTTTGATTATCAATAGTTCTTACAGTTTTCATTAGTTTCTTATTTATCAATATGAAGAACAATATGTATAATGAGATCTAAATAGGTAGATGTTTTGTCTGATTTTCAGTTTATAGGTCCTCAAGAAATTGTGTTCAGTCTAATTCATAAATAATTCTCTTTTATTATTTTACGTTCTAGATTAATAATTTAAAAATAGTGAAACATTTTTTTTTTTTAAATTGCAGTTTAAAAAATATTTAAAACCCAGTTTCCACATTTAATCATGTAAGGCACATGAAACAATCTAGAAAGTCATAAGTCAATCTAGAAAGTTAGAATTAATGATCTTAAAATAATTCTAATTTCATCAAAGAAGCACAACTATGTAGAATGAGGAAACATCTATGGTATAGCTGCTGAATGAATTTTATTTGTCAAGTTTGCAATTGTAGATTTGTTTTATGGAGAAAGACATTTTACAAATTTTAGTAAGGTAATTTATGGTAAAGTTTACATATTTTATAAGTATATTCCCCCCCCCCCATTTCAGGAATAACTATTTCTTTTGAATACTCTGACATTGCTAAAATTCTATTTTTACTTGTATGTCTCTTAGTACTTTTTTTTTTATTTTAGGCAATATGTAGTCTCTTAGTACTTTTTTTTATTATTATTATAGGCAATATGTAACCATTTTTATTGTTTTAAGTGCCAAATGAAAGATTTAGTATACAAATTAAATACGTTGAAAGAAAGAAGACATTGTATTATGTGTGGTTAGTTCTTCTTTCTGTCTTCTTTAAATTCTTTTGCACTATATTTTGTATTTGACTTTATTTTAGTGTTCTTGTTTATTATCCATATGCATCAAACAAAGTTTTCCATAAAATAAAATATTTTAATTTTTACAATTATATGATTTTTTTTAGCATTTTTCTAAACATTTAACAATTAGCATTAAATAATATTATGTTTTCATATAGCAAAGGGTATGCTAAAATTAATTAATTGTATTAAATACTTTGATTTATTGAAGTTATTGCTTTTTGTAATGAGCCCAGAGAAGCAAAGCAAGTTTGAGCATTGTATATATATACAAAATTTATCAGTGTATAGATGCATAAATAAAAATACGTTTTTAAAATATTGCTGTAGAAACAAATGTACAAATATTTGTTTTTGTTCCAAATAAAAAATATAAGTATGATGTCTTCTTATTCTATATACTTTATTACCCCTCCAGAAGAAATATTTTATCTCAATGTGGCTTTTTGAATGATAATTATTCGTCGTCACTGATAATAACCGTGTATCTTCTTTAATGTTCTAAATATGTAATTAAAAATAATTCTTATTTATGTAATATCTATAAATTTTAAGTTTATTTGAATAGTGCATTTGCATTTCTAGTAAAAAGATTCATCTAGATATAAATAAATTAGTGGCTTTTTCTGGCAATAATGGCAGGCTCGAAGTGCATTTAACATCACTTAGAATGTATTGATAACACTTTAAATTATTATGAAGTGTTTACTTTAGGTAAATGAAAATTCATTCTTTACATCGGAGAAAGTCATTTTAGATTTGGGGGAGGTTGCAAATATATGCATATCTTTTTATGAATAATATATGGGTAAATTATAAAAATAATTGAAAAGATACCCGATTTTAACAAAGTAAGAATGAGTTGCTAAAAATATTCTTATTGTATAAAGTTTCATTAAAAGAAGAAAGTGGGAAAAAATGTTTTTATTCTGATAAATTCCTTTAAATATTTCTAAATCAGTAATTATTTTTTTAAAGATTTAAAAGTTAAGAGCAGTAATAATAAAGTATGCACATTGATATTAGATTGGTTAACAATTTTAGGGAAAGAATAACATCAAAATATGTATAATTTTATTACTTGAATAATCTGAATGGCACAGGTCCTTCCTGTCTTTGTTTTATGTTTTACTAAATCATAGTAAAAGTTTTGTATTAGTATTTTTTTGGGGGGGGCTAATTCCCAATTCATTTTTACAAATATAGTAATGTGTAATGTAAAATAAAATTATTATTTCTACATGAAGACATTTTATGAACAGTATACGTTGGGTGTTTGATTTTATTGGGGCAAAGCCACCTGAAGACTATTCACCAAGCAAAGGATGCCTTTGTGAAAGACTTTCTAAGGGAAGCTATTTTATTTTCATATTACACATGAGGAAAAACTATAAAAATACCCACATATCTAGCCTGTTCACCAAGATTTAAACCTGGGTCAAACTACCAGTTGAATAATGATCCTGCACTTTAGAAGTGTTAATATACATTTGAAAATATTAGCATTTTTATTAAAAATAAATAGATCTGGAGCAGTCTGATATATTTTAATACCTTGTTGTTTGGTAATTATTGCTTAAATATTTAAAATATGTTATTTGTTTGGAATATTAAAAAGAATTTGTATTATTATTGCTTCGTAAATTTGTTTTTCAGTGAAAGATTTTATAAATTAAAAGTCAAGAACTGTCCATAGTGTGTATGTAGTATGTTTGTTATAGTGTGTAAATTCAGAATTTTCCTCAAAGTTAAAATTAATATTTCTAAAAATTATAGTAAATGTTTTTTGATTGTCCTTTTTTAACTGTAGTAAAACTTTTTCTCATAGATAATTAACATGATGTGTTTTATTATAATATATAAATATGATGTATTATGTGAATAGAGTATTTGTTCTATACTTTTAAGTGCATTATGCATTTTATGCCTGTAATATAACTACTGATTATTTTTATAATAATCTGTATTATATCAACTTCATGTACAATACTAAGTTCCAGATTTTGGAAATTTTCAGATTTAGATCGTCAATTTAAATTTAGTAAGATTACATTTAGAAATTATAAAATTACAAATATGAAAGGTTGTCTGTGAAATAATGAAGTATTTAAGATCTTAAGGGTTCCAAAATTTACTATAAAAAATTCAGTGATAACATTTGTTTTCTTCCATTATTATATTTTTTTTCAATGTACATTGTTTTATCTGTTAATACATTCTCTAATTTTATAGAGAAACGTAATTTCTTGTTCAGTTACTGTAGGCCTCTGTCATATAAATCTATGCAAGCACTTTTTAAAATATCTGCTGACCTGTCATGACCTTGGTATGCAGCAAGCAGCAGATTTGCCATGCAGCATATTTTATTTTGAAGTATTTCAAGAATTTTTTAACTCTGTTATGGCAGTATCGTTTTCAGAAAGGGTATTTTATGTTTCAGTGATTACAAAATTCTGATGTTCATTGGCGGACATAAATAAATGATGGATTCAACGTATAGTGGATGTAAAAGTGTAACTGAACAAACAACGTTAGATCCCAAAGTAATTTAAAAATACTGGTGATCAAGGCACAAGAATCTCCACCGTTCCTAGCTTTTAATAGGAATATATATGTAAGATATAACAAAATATGATAGCTGTTTCAAAAAAATAATTGACGACCTCAAAATTAACATTCTAAATTTGGTAATCTGCCCCTAAATTCATCTCTTCTCACAGGTTCCAGACTTTTCTATCTTATGTAACGTTTTAATGCAGATGCCCCTTGTCCAATCAAATTAATTCTAAACCAGAACTGTGAACTGAAACTTTCCCACTCCCAGCCTTCTTCCTATGAAAGTACTATAACCTTGCCCTTTTCCGCGTTAGCTCTTCTGCTGGTAAGACGCTTTTCATGCATGCTGCTGCCGCTTACTTGCTTAAGGTGACATCGTACTTCAAAATGGGAGTTATTTTATTCAAATATTATTAAGAAATATCTTGTCTGAAAAAGAATGATTTGATATGCATGGAAAAAATAAAGATTGCGATTTTTCAAGATATGTTGTGCTAAATTGCGTCATCATGCTTTCCACTCTGCCACCTTCAAGCCACTACAGTCTTCTCAGTCATCTACGCAGTATCGTATGCTGTTGGGAGGTCCACTGCTTTCATCTACGCATTTGAAATCATTACATATATGCATATATAATGTAAGGAGTTAATTAGTGACAACATGACCATCAGTGAGCATTTATGTTATCTTCAGCACTGCCTGTTCGTGAGATTGAATTCTTCTGTTCCTATATGAAATAATGGGTCCTTAGACATACCGTAATAAATTACAATCTGAAAATTTCAGATTACAGTCTAATATCTCAGAGTTAAATCTCCAAAAACTTTAAAAAATATTAAATTGATACCCTTTAAAAAGGTGTAGTTATTCAGCTTTTTAAAAAACTTAATATTTTTAAACACCTTCCGTTTCAAAATGTTTACTGTTTTCAAGTTGGGGGTTTTCTGGCTTTACAAAATAGAAAATATGTCTGTTTAAAAGAAATATTTATTGCAAACATCGTGCACATGTGATGCAGGGAAATAAATGCACATTTCTGCTTCGTACAAGGAAATAAAAAAGAAAAGATAATTAAATCTTATCTTTTTTATTTCCTTGTATGAAGCAAAGGAAGTCTTGTAACCGCGAGAAATTTCTGGTGTCATATTTTTAAAAAATATCTGTTTTGGCTGCTCTTGTATCCATATGAACAACATCCATGTTGTTCATATGGATACAAGAGCCGGACTTTGCACGACATCTGTACCTACCTACAGGTGGAATAAACGACTTTTTTTTTTCCAAAACGGATTGTATGGATTGTAAAATGGATTTTTTCGTGATTACATAATCAAAATTCCCATTTAATTTAGTATGCTTATTCCAGCGAAAAATTAATTTTCTAAACCATCCTCAGAGAACTTCGGTGTTTTCTAATCTCTCGATCCCTGCAAATGGGTTGGCTGCATGGGCGTTTTCATTGTCTTCCCCATGTGTAACGTTTACAAATTCCTCTTAGAAAGTCCACCACAAAGACATTCCTTCCTTTAGGCATATAGCCCTTGAGTACTTTGCTTTCATCAAATAAACTAAACCAAACCAATTCTAATCTATTTATAGCATAGTTAAACTCTCCAATTGAACATTCCGTACATTCCCCCCCCCAAAAAAAAAATTATAAACAGAAATGTGGAAACAGAGTACTCATTATAGTTTCTGAATTATGTCTGAAGTGTTTTCACCCTCTTTTCCCTAAAGATAATGATTTCTCTTCACATCTTCTATGGTTGAAAAAAACAGTGCTACAAAAATGCACTTGTTCCAGTCAGCAACTGAATAGGACTACAGTACTGCTTGGGATACCTGCGTAAACATGTCAACACTTGTCTCTTGCCGATAATGTTGCCTGTGAACTCTACTAAAGCTGAATTCCTAGCACTTTGGAAACACCCTATGTGTATCTTTCATAATGATGTGCAGGTGATAATTCAAGGTCGGAATGTTAGGAATGCAAAAATATTTTATGTAAATAAATTTGTACTAAATGTTTCATTCTGTGATTTATTGGAGTTAGATTGAAATAAACTCTTTCACAAAATTATGAATTTTTATATTTTATCCTACATCAACAAATAAAATGATTTATGAGTCATGCTGTATCTTATAAAATTATATCTGTTTGATGGGATGAGAGAACAGAAAAGAAACATGCCAAAGTGAAACACAAAATTAGCAAAGCAACAACCTTGTGTTTGAATTAGGTTTAGTCAAGAATGCAATCGATTTCGAAGGCCAAAAAGCTACAGATCTGTCTTCATCAGGAGCAAAGAAATCTGCAAGACTGGAAAGCAATGATCGTAATGGTTATATTTATACCCTACAGCAGTAAAGTGAGCTAGAAGGTAGCGCCATAAACATACAGTCTATCATAAGAAAAGCTTTTGCCAGTTAGTCTGCAGCTGTCTGTTGGCGTAGAAACCCATTTTTCGTAGGAGTGTCTTCAAGACGAATGAACTCTTTTCGCCAAAAACAAAACAGTCCCCAAAAACAAAATAACAATAAAGCAACTGTTGGTTCGCCCTTATTTTAAATATACTAGCCCTGTTGGTACAGCGACTGCCACCTGCCAGACACTGTGGCGGGAGCTCTTGTTCTTGTAGGCAGACAATACTTTCTCGTTCGTTTTACCATTATAGGGTGTAACTAGGACCATTTCTTTCCAGTTTTGCAGATATTTTTGCTCATGATAAAGAGGTATCTGTACCTGTTTGCCTTCGAAATCGATTGATGTCTTGACTAAAAATGTACCATACACAGGGTTGTTGCTTTTGCAATTTGTTATTTGCATCTATTTGTTTTAAAATACATTTGCTGTAAAGTTTTGTTGTTTTACTTGTTATCAAAGAGAAAGGGGTAAAAATCGATTTTTTTAAATTTAATAATGATCATCATACATATGTTTGAAAATTTTAACAACATTGATATCATCAGTTAATTACAGCGTTTTGTAGCTTATATTTATTTTTCAGCTACTTATGAGTGTTTTTAATTTCATTGCATAAAGTACTCTTTTTTTAACCTATACTATTTCTCAGAATTTTATTTTATATCAAAGGGCCAGTTAATTTTTTTTTGTACGTGCGGCAAAATGCTTTTGTGTTCCAAAACCTTCTCTTAGAAGTCTGTACCATCCATCAATATTCTGAAATGGAGAAAAAAATGGTTTGGGAATATACATATATATTTTTTCATAAATTAATAAATAATAAAACTTTTATTTTTACATTACGATCTCTCTCTTTCTCCTTTTTTATAGTCAAATTTAGAAATCAATGTGTATTAACCACTTGGGCTACGACTAAACATCACGGTTGCAGTGCCATGCACTACAGTATAACAAGCGGTAAAGTGTCTCATTTATGCCGCTCCGCGTCTGCGAATGCAGTCCAGAGCTGTAACTCGAGAAATAAACAATCACGTTGTTGGGCGACGTGTGCACCACGTTATTTTAATTTTTGCGTGCTGTTTGAGACAAAAGCATCTCGACGTGCGTGGCACGTCTTTTTAGCGCAAGTGGTTAAACATTTCTTAATACAATAAAAAATTGCATTTTCGTGAAATTATTGTCTCAAGCGTATAAGAAGATTTACGTATGTTACATAATTGTATGTGTAATAGAAATTACAATGTACTTCCTTTCACGCTTGCAGGCTGAAGAGTTAAATTTTTGTTTAATAAGTAATAAATACGACATCAAAAATATTTTTTAAATAAGTATTAAGAACCTTTCGAAACGAAGTGCTTGGAAATCTGCTCAAAAGATGCATGTATAGCTGATATTCTTATATAATACAGCTTCTCTTATATTTTTTCTGTATATTTTAGTTACTTTTTATATTATACGCGTATAGAATGCCAATTTAAAATTCCAGATTATGTAAATCACAATCGTTGATTTAACAAGAGGAGTAAAAACACATATTATGAAGTATTTCATAATTTTTTAGATAAAGAAATGTAATGTTGGATTTAAGTAATTCAGTCGTGGGTTGCCAAGAATGCCTCGTGCGTTTGATCAAGTTGTTCCCTGCGCTTGACCAATACGATGAAGTGAAGTGCCGAAGAATACCTATTCGCGTATTATTAGAGAAGGCGTCTATGTCACCTTTTAGTGCCATATACATTAGTATGCAAAACGTAGGCAACTTTTCTGATTATGACCGTAATTCCGCAAAAAATCAACTGGAAGGCATGAAATTCATACTGCAGAGGCACAGTGTAGTACTTAAAAGATGAGGAAAGTATAATAGCAAAAGAATTAATAGGGCGCATACAATATGGAGCGAATAGAAAAGGCTTTATTGACAGAATAGCGGAGGTACAAAAAACTCTCTGGCCAAAAGGAAGAACAAAAAAACGGAAGATCCTTAGTAAGGGATTGCACTGTCTGTCGATATTCAAAACCAAATTATCTAATAGTTATTGAGGTAACAGTTCCCATTCTTCAAGAAGCATCTGTTTCAGTTATCTGGAGAAAGATCATGCCACCAGGCATCGCCTTGAAGTATTCCACACACGTTCAGTGGGATTTAAATCAGGAAAGCATAAGCTCCAATGCATACTGTGGAAATCTTCACCTTCTAGCCATGCATTGCTATCTATTAAAATAAAGTCGGGACCAGTGGCACCCCAGAAAAGATGCATGTATCCTCGCATGCGTCTTTTCCGAAGTGGGACTTGACTTAACCGTTGGTAACTTCATCACAGAAACAAACACTGATAAGTGAACCTCTATTTGAAAATGTAAAGTTCCGTTCGTCCGTTCATAATGATGCTTCCCCATGTAAGCATGCCAGGATCAGCCCAGTGGTCTCTTTTCCTAACGTTAGTGATATGAAAGAGTGTCCTTCATGTCAAATGGCTCCGAGAATCGTTTGTCAGACTCAAACAACTTTCATTGTTAAAGAAGATGTGATTCCATTGATCAGGTGTCCAGTCTTTGTGTTCGCACACACTAAATCGAAAAAAGGGTTGTAATCTATTAGCAATGGTGAAAGGGGTGCATGGAACAAAAACGGTTGAGAACCATTGCCTGGAAATGCGTCTTCACTTCATTTTAAGCTACATTGCACTGTGCTTACTCCTTACGTTTCTTGTGTCCTGACGTGTAGCCTCTGACGTCATGGTGCTGTTTTCATGGACCTTATGAGAAATAGACTAACCCAAACGGGTTTTCTCCCTCGTCTGAGGCGTAACCGGCTGTCACCTTGATCACATCCAGAGGAGTAGGGACGACTTGCAGAAATTTAACATTGGTTGTCTGTTGCAGCGTGTATATAATGAAGAAAAAGCTGGTTAGCGCCTCATTTCACAATTAGATTTTTACATATTTTTATTTTTGAAATGAGATTGATTTTTAAAAATTTAGCATATTTTTCAAGCTAATTACGTTCCAATAATTATAAAGCTATTGCATGCTTCAGGACTGGATATTTTTTTTAGCTTTTCCTATGCTGTAAGGAATTTGTAAGCTACTTTCTTTTAGAAAATAATATTTTTAAAAATCTGAACTAATAGAAAATTTCAAACAAGCAATTTTCTCTTGCAATTTTTATGCTTTTTATTGGTGTAAATAAGTAAAAAATACTAAAATATTAAAAAACGAATTTTTGAAGTTTTGTTTTAAAATTCTAAAATTGTGCTGCTTTTTTAAAATTATAGATGAGTATTATAGCACAATTTCTGTAAGGAATTTTATTCAATTATATTTCATAATACATCAATAGTGATAAAGACTTTGACTCCTTAAAAAAATTTTTATACATTTATTCTAATATTAAAATGTATTAACCGTAATAATTAATTTGCTTGTATTTTATAGTGATTATTTTTTTAAATTTATTTTTAGTTCTGCATAGGTTTTTTTATTTACTGTTAATTTAATTTATTAGCCCAAAGGGGCGGTAGCCTAGAAAGGTTGTTAGTTTCGAAGCGGCATTTTGCGCTGTTTTAGTATAAATGTCCGTGTCTCCTTGCAAATTGTTTTTACCAAATATTATCGCCCTGTATTATATTTAAGGAAATTAAATAATGAAGAATCTGCTTGAATAATGTATGTTTCTCTCACTGTGACAAAAACCACAGTATCTAGAGCCATCAAAATTTCAATAATGTAATCCTCCACTCGAACATGGGCATTTGGACGGCCGAATTTCGAATTTGTTTTAATCTATTTCATATTTTGTAAACCTTTAACGAATTTTTGATTAACAAACTCAACGAGTTCAGAGCGAGCACTGTACGGAAAATAACAGTTTTTATCTCCAGTGCGAAATTCTAAGATATGCTGTTTTCAAATGTATGTGGTTTCACGGGCGAAAACATGATATTCAATAATATAGGTAACTCCTTCATTACGCCCAGAAAATTTTATGCTTCGAATTTTATGAATTATTAAAATAACTAATCCACTTTAATGTTAATAATTTAATGATCATATAATCAAATAAATTGATCGTTTTGTAATGTTATTATAGTTTAGAAAATCGCTGCCTGAAAATGATCATTAAATTTTAAAAAAATTATCAGATCTTGTTTAATTTTACCTTATTTATTTCAAAGTATCGCGTAATCTTATTTAATTTTACTTTATTTTACCAAAATTAAGTTCATAAATTTTGTGCTTAGAGTTTTTAACCGTTTTTAAAAAACCATTTAAAGATGTTTGTACAGGTTACGCGTGAAAAAAAAAAATGCGCGAATTCAGTAAAAAGTGCTTTAATGAGATATATTAAATCCTATTTGGAAAAAAACTGTGACTTTCATAATCTCATCACTATACAACGTATCACATTTAATAATTAAAAAGAGTTATGTGATACCAACGCCATAGGTTTCAGTGTTAAAGTAAACCAGATCGTCCCTACTCTTTCTTGCCGACATGTTGGTGACGCCCCCCCCACTGGGTTAGTCTATCTCTTATACGGTCCATGGCTGTCTTGTGATATTTACGTATGCATTATCTTTCCACTGAGCTGGTTTTTCATTGTACTGATTGCAAAAAGCCCTTTTCATTAATTTCATAAGTTGTATGTTGAAGAGTGAACTTGTTACTTAAAGTTTTGCACACTAGTGTAGTTTTAGCACCAAGAAGTGCTTAAATGAATTTTTGATAAATTTGGCGCCCTTCTTTTTAATTCATCCGGCACTGATAAAAACTGTAATTCATTTACACCCCCTCCAAAAAAAAGGGGGAAAATCTTTATAGTAGTTTATGTAGCAAAGTAATAAAAACTTAACAGTAAACATGTAAGGAATTGAAATTTATTTCTGCTTTGCGATATTATGGTGAAATGTCCAGAACATGTATCTGCTAATTGGAATGATCCATGTCCGTTTAAAGCAGATCTGACAAGTTTTTGCGTTAAATAGTTAAAGCATTGATTAAATGGCGTTGGAAAGTATAGTAGAAATCAATTGCTGCCATAAAAGTAGCTGTAACTAACAGAAATTCATAAAATAGATGAAAACGTATTGTAGCACAATAAGTAGCAGAGAGAAATGTATTTTAAAATTTAAAAGTTTAGCTATGATATTATAGCTATAATATTTTAATACTTTAGCCATAGTATTTATTCAGAGATTATACAGTAAAAAGTTCACGATTTAAGTACAGCCTCGAATTAGTTTAAAGCAAATGATCAGTTTTGCTTCTGTTTCAAAACCTCCAAAAAATTTTAATTTTTGCGAATGAGTTGAAGAGTGGTCCTTGAAACTCATCAGTATTCGCGAGAAGTGTCATGATCGTGCAAATAAGATTTTTGAAATATTTATTTGCAGTTGTTTTCTTCAAATTAGATTGCACATAGAAGCTGAAATATTCTATAACATTCGTTAAAGAAATATGTGTTAATTAATAAATTAAGAGTTAATTTTTTGCGAAAAGTTAGGATGTAAAGCACATATGACTTATGTCATAAAGTAATGTCTTGGCACTTCGTATTTCATTTGTTTAATAATTTTGATCCATGTATTTTGAATGATGCATATAATGCGTCATATTTCTGAAATATTTCAGATACCGACATTTTATATTTAGGCTATACATTATGCTCTTTCGGAGCCAGAATTATGAAAAATTGACTATTTCTTTGCTGGTATTTGAACCACGGATATTCTAGTCGGATTAGTTATCTAGATGTGCTACTAGTTACACCACGAGAGCACGCACGGAGAAAGACATGAATAAATGTACTGGAGATCTTGTATTTCTCATAAGGAATACTTTATAAAGTAACTCCATCTAGAATACTTGCAGCTTTATAACATCTGCGTGTTCCTTTAAGCCAAATATTTTATCACTGATGATTTTTAAAACATCTCTGAATAGATGCTGTTTGCTTCCTAACAAATTAATGTTAACCGTATACTCTTTAGAAATGCGGATAAATAAACAAATGAAATATATTTACTCTTTTTACTTCCTTGTACGAAGTAAAAAGGAAGTATTGTAATCGCGAAAAGTTTCAGGCAGCATATTTCAACGAAAATATCCATTTTGACCGCTTTCGAATGCAATTTAACGATGTTTTTGCGTGATATCTGTACGTAAGGACAGAATAAAAGACTCTTTTCCTTAAAAAAAAAATTAAAAACTGCTTTAAAATGAATTCTGAAGAGAATTTTTCGTCGCGTCTGTACGAACGTATGTACGTACGTACCTCGCGTAACTCAAAAACGAGAAGCCTCAGAGCGTTGAAATTTTGTATATAGGAATACTGTAACATGTAGATGTGCACCTCGTATTTTGGTTTCAATCGGTCCCCTCCAAACGTATATAAATATATTTATAAATATATCCACTCTGTTACCCGGCTCAGTGATCTCAGTTTCTTTACTCTTATGTTTGTAAATTGTACATTTTTTGCTTTAAAAATGATTGAATTATGTTGTTCTTATTTCCGGTTAAGGTTTTTATGCCTTTAATAAATCTGTATACAATATTTTTAGAATTATCAACAATTTAAAAGTTGTTTAAACGCTGCTAAGCCTAATAATTTTTTTGATGGCGGACATTGCTTGTTTACATTTGAAACAGCAGAGTAGTGAATTTGTTGCCAATCTAGAGAAACGTAACTTTGCAACTACAAAGATAAACGCCTTCATTTATTATTGCAATTTAAATCATGCTTAATCCTTTCTGAAATTTTTTCGAGGAAATAAGTGTTTAAGATTTACTTAATTTTTAATAATTAGTAATTTTTAATACAGATATTTTGAGTTTTTTATGTATTTTTGCCTTGTCGCGAAGTGAGAGACTGAATTAATTGAATGAGAAATACTCAATCGTCTGTGAAAAACTGTTTCTTTTTTGTTTTGTTTGCTTAATTTCTTTTATATATCGTTCTAGCTTGATCTTTAATTACATGTGGCAACGATTAGATAATTCTTTAAATGGTATAAATTTTGTGCATTGTGAGTTATATAATATGAACGAAATATAATACTGTTAAGTGAACCTAGCGCCAGAGTGTCGCTATGGTAAACAAATAGAGTGAATTTTAAAGAATGCATTTATTCTATTGTGGTTTATGCGCTGTCGGCGAAGTAGATTTAATTCAATGCAATAAGTTTAAACAAAATGCAAGAAAAAATGCGTATAATTTAATGTTCCGTAGGAGGAAGTCATGTGGTGTACACATCAGATTTTTTTATTATTATTAAAATTGCATGCTTATTAAAGCAATAATGAAATGTTTTAGAGTAATTAAAATAAATCATTGTTATGCTTTAAAATGATTTAATAAATGAGAAAATACTACTAATTAATATAACACTGTAAATACTCTTCTGAATTTATGCCAGTTGTTGCCATTTTCACCCAGTTTCTTTTACTTGCAACCAGTTTCGGCCAACAACAGGGCAAAAACTAAATATTTTTTCCTGTGAGAAATCCAGTGCTGGTTTAAAGAGATGTAACTTTGAAAGAGCACGAGCATAATATATATCATAAATACTTCCGTTGGAGGAAGAGACATGTTGCAAATTGTTTCTGGTAGAGCTCAGAAACTCTCTAATGTAAGATTATATTTTATTTAAAGTTGATGCGCTTTTCGTAAATCTTTTTCAGATTTTAGTTTTTTAAATCGCTTCTCTCCTGGATGCTGCGCCTGGGGACAGATGTCCCCTCTTGCTCCGCCCCTGTTACGGGATCGATAGCCTGGTGGATGTAACGGATATAAACGGAGTATATTATTCTGGAAAGTGAAAAAGGCATAGTCTTTTCTTTTTTTTTTTTTTTTTCATGTTTTTTCTAAACAATTAAATTTCTGTGTTTTAATGTTAAATACAGTGCGCGAACTAACTGGTTAAGAGATCGAAGACAAAATAAAGATAGAATGTAAAAATAATTATTGTAGGTATTTCTTTGTTGCCATAGAAGAAAGGAAAAAACTTACGTGGTGATTATCCATAACATGCCTTACACTGAAAGACATACAGCCAATTAGTTCACTTCTCCTGAAAGAAAGAAATAACTTTCTTATAATAAACTTAGTAAAAACTATGAAAGGAAATTAAGAGGAGAAAATTTTGTAATCTGAAGTATGAGATGATTTTACGATTAAAAATTGAAAAATATTGAACTAAAATAAAAATAATATGTGGGTATGATCTAATCAAGAAAACCGAGTGCAGTTGTTGAATGGGGACATACACTGAAGTGACAAAAGTCATGGGATAGCAATATGCAAATATACAGATGGCAGTAGTATCGCGTAGAAATGTGTAAATGCGAAGTGCTTTGGCAGGGCTTTCATTTGTGTTCAAGTTATTCATGTGAAGAGGCTTTGACGTGATTATGGCCGCACGACGAGAATTAACAGACTTTGAACGCGGAATGGTAGTTTTTAGCTAGACGCATGGGTCATTCCATTTTGGATATCGTTAGGGAATTCAACATTCCGATATCCACAGTGTCAAGATTGTGCCGAGAGTATCTAATTTCAGGCATAACATCCCACCGTGGACAGCGCAGTGGCCGACCATCTCCACTTAACGACCGAGACCAGAGACGTCTGCGTAGAGTTGCCAATGTCCACAGACAAGCAACACTGCGTCAAATAACCGCAGGAAATCAATGTTGGACGTACGAGGGACGTGACCGATAGGAAAGTGCGGCGAAATTTGTCTTCCTTATGCTATGCCAGCAGAAGACCGACTCGAGTGCCTTTACTGACAGCAAGACATCGCCTGCAGCGACTCTTGTGGGCTCGTGAGCATATCGGTTGGTCCCTAAACGAATGGAAAACCGTGGCTTGGTCAGATGAGTCACAATTTCAGTTGGTAAGAGCTGATGGTAGGGTTCGAGTGTGGCGCAGACCCCACGAAGCCACGCATCCGAGTTGTCAACAAGGCACTGTTCAAGCTGGTGGTGTTTCCGTAATGGTCTGGGCTGTTTATACATGGCATGGACTCGATCCTCTGGTACAACTGAACCGACCATTGACTGGAAATGGATACCTTCAGCTACTTGGAGATCACTTACAGCCATTCATGGACTTCACCTACTCAAACAACGATGGGATTTTTATGGATGACAATGCGCCAAATCACCGGGCCAGAATTGTTCGCGATTGGTTAGAAGAACATTCTGGACAATTCCAGCGAATGATCTGGCCACCTAGATCGCCCGACATGAATCCCATCGAACATTTATGGACATCATCGAGGTCATTCCTGCCCAAAATCCTGCACCGTCAATACTTTTCACAATTATGGACGTCTATAGAGGCAGCACGGCTCAATATTCCTGCAGGGGACTTCCAACGACTTGTTGAGTCCATGCCACGTCGAGTTGCTGCACTTCGCCGGGCAAAAGGAGGATCGACAAAATATTAGGAGCTATCCCATGACTTTTGTCACTTCAGCGTATAGCAGACTTCACCAATGATCACTTTGAAAGTTTGGAATCCTGTATTCAAAAAGTTCATACAAAATATTCGCAGTTTTGTGTTAAATGTGAAACGTTGTAACTAGTCTTTTTCAGAGATACATTCATTAGAATATACATACTGTTTTTCGAAGGAGGTATTCGTATAATGCTTCTTTTGGCACAAACTGTATCTGGTAGTAATGTTGGTTTTAATAGCTTAAATTGTTTCGAAATGTTGCCCCTGTAGAACTATTCGAATAATAGTGAACAGCAGGGTCAGAGGCTGACATATATGACCAGTATAAGGTGGTTGTAGCGCGACAGGAATGAGTTTTTGACTTGCCACAACTTGTAACAAATGCAAACTTGTTTACTTATATGTCCAGCGCATAAAATGCAATATTGTGCGGCATAGTCGAACGATTCTTTGGTTCCGTTTGTATGGAAACGTGAACGATGCTCTTCCTGATAATGTGATTTGATGCATTTCTTGTAAAGAGAATAAATACGCTAATACCTTCTAACAACTAAATTCAATTATTACGAGCATTCAAGCAGATAGCATGACTTTTTCATGAACTTTTTGAGCAGAGAAATATGACATGGACATACAAAGAAACCCGTTCCAAAAATCGGGATCGGATCGAATGCAATACCTACATCTGAAGCCTCTAACTTTTATGCAGCGGTTGTATCCAAACGTAAAATGGAATAAATAAATAGAAAACGGAATGATTATTTTGCACTGAAATGCGTAATACAGTATGACATCAGAAACATCTTTTAATAATTAGGGTAGAGGCGAAAAAGTTCGTAAAAATTATTAACTGAATATATTATATGAATTAGAATTCTAAAAATTGTTATCTTTATTAAAGATAAAAATTATTAAGAAGTAGGTTTATCATCTTTCAGTTACTCAATTTGAAGATTTTATAGCACGTTGAATAGCAAGCAGTACGCTGGAAAATCACTGTTTACCCAACCGTATAATAAGATAAAAGGCTCAATATCCTAGAAGAATGGTGCACAAATCAAGACATTGTTTACTTGTCTCAGGCTTGGGCACGCCTTTTTATGAGGTAATATTGGATACGCCTCTTTTTAGAAAAAAGTTGTAGTTATGCTCTAGCTTCACATTTGAAGAAAATTTAAATTATATTTTAACTGAGTTGAAATGCTATGTTTATAATGTTCCTGCGCGAGATATTTTTCTTATAAATCTACTTTATTTTGTGTTGTGTGCTATTTTAACATTTAACACAAGGAATTAGTTCTCAAAAATGCATTGCTAAGATCTACCAAACGATTGAAAATGCTGAATAAATGAATGAAAATTTACAACCGTAACGGCTCAAAACGAAGAAAAAAGTTCTTTGGCTCAAAGAAAAGGTGCTTTCGCAGTATAGATAAAAAGCTGATATTTTTTTTTAAACAAATTGGAGAGAAAGAGTAAAATAAAGCAATATTTTAATGGAGAAAATATTCATTGCGAGGTCATATAAATATTCAATTTGTGGAACGAAAATGAAATTGGTTGAGCGAAAGAACTATGTAATTGAAGGAAAATGAAATTGGTTGAGCGAGAGTAAATGGTTTTGAGTAGATGTGTAGAGTTATGCGAGGCGAATGTAAAAATCGAATTATAAGGTCTATTGAAAATGTATCGTGGTTTACGAAGAGTAAATTGAGCATGTGTATATGTAGCTGGTTAAGCGCAGGAATGGTTTTATAACTAAAATATATAGAATAACTAATAAGACTGTCACAAGTTGGTTAAGGCACGGATGACGAGTCATTTTTAGAAATAATTAAAGCAAATGTTTTTCCCGGATCATTGTGATTTTTCGCTCCCTCGAGGCCGACGGACACAAGCATTTATCACTTGAAAGAGAGAAACGAAGATCAAGACATACTAGATATATTCGGGCGAAGCCGAGGACTGAAGGTAAGTTTTATTTATTATTATCAGCTAAAGTGAAGTATGGGATGCACGTTAAATTTATTAATTTCATTGTTAGGTAGTAGCATTGTTATGGTAACTTAATTTTGGTCCTTGGGTCATTTTTCTGTAAATGTTAGTTTTTTTAAGACTTATTAATTATTCAATGTGTTCATAATTCAAACTTATTAATTAATCAATGTGTGATATTTCTTTCTCTATATTCAAACTTATTAATTATAATTCAAACTTATTAATTAATCAATGTGTGATATTTCTTTCTCTGTCATTTGTTCTGTGTTTCTCTTTGCTAGCTGTTATTTTTGAAAGTCTGTAAAGAGGAACCCTCTTTTATTTTCATTACATTGGAGTGTATGTGGGAGTTGAAACTGTTCTGGGAGTGGCTGGTGCTTCATGGAGAAGCTGTGCGCAATGCCGAGGTTGTGCACTTCTCTGCTTTTTTTTAAGCGAAAGTAGATCGCTGTTACATGGGGAGAAAAACAGTATTATATCGTATATTATGTGCAATGCATCATTTTTGTATTTTTAATTTCTGTTACTGTATTAACTGTAAATTGTATTTTTAGTCATCATTTTTTGTTTTTAAATTTGATTTCTTATTGTTTTCTTTTTGATATGTTGACAATACTTTTCAGCATACGGTAAATTTTGATAGCTTGACGGTCTTTATGTCAAATGTCGAGTCGCGAAAATCGCGAACTTGCATTCAATAGGTAACTTTTGCATTATTAAAATAATAATGAAAAGTTACTTATCGAGTGCAATACCAGTAGCAGACACTATGTACTAAAATAATTACACAGTGTTTGCTATTCTAATTAAACGTGATTTTGTGGTTTTTATTTTCGTATCTTATTCTCCTTATTGTGAGAAATTAAATATTTGCCAATTATTTATGTATGGAATACTAATATGCACAGAGGCAGTATAATGTTATTTAAGAATCTAAGAAGTAGTGAAATGAAAACTATGCTGTTAAAAAAAAAATCATTAATGCATTCATTTCTTAAATATTCTTTTATTTATAATGAACATTATGTGCTTAATAGAATATAAGAAATTTTGCGTAGCAAGAAACTCATTTGTGAAAATGGTAGAATCAAAGACCTCTACGATGTAAATTTAAAATAAAAAAAAATTCCAAAGTTTAAAAATCTTTGAAAATATTCAAGCTATCTGAAGTATAAGCAAGACTTGTAGTTTACCGTTTTAATAAATGGCTGGGTTATTCTACCATGTTAATTTAAAATAAACAGATTATTATACTTATTTGCAGTAAAACCAAATTACCTCATTATACGAAGTAAAGGAAGAATTGTAATCACAAAAAATTCCGGATACCATATTTCAATGAAAATATCCATTTTGACTGCTATCGAATGCAATTTAACGATGTTTTTGCGTGATATCTTTATGTAAGGACAGAATAAAGGATTTTTTGCTCCAAATGAATTATAAAAGTAATTTAAAATGAATTCAAAAGAGATTTTTTTGTGGCGTCTGTATATATGTACGTATGTATGTATGTATCTCGCATAACTCAAAAATGTAATAGCTTCAGAACTTTGAAAATTTGTATGTGGGACTGGTATAACATGTAGATGTGCACCTCCCTTTTTGGCT